CAGCTCTCTGTGTTATTTTTCTGTTATAAAAATATGTCCAATTTCTCTCTTTTATACTAATATATTTTGTATTTAATCTTATTTGGGTGAGGTTTTCTACCACTTCCCCCATGTGCATTCATATTTACATTTAATTTATGTATTTTGTATTTATATTGTGTAAAAACTAAACAGTGGTGATGTTTGGTTCTGTGCAGTGACGGCCTTGCGAACCTGACTGTGGCATGGTGTTTGCTACGTTGGCCGCTGCCGAGCGATTACTCGTTCTGGGAGAACCAGTGGGTGCTCTGCTCGTAGTATCCTGCAAACGACAGATTATTTCACACATACCAACACCGGAGGGACTTTTAGTTTATTTTATGAGCCAAAACTAGAATAAAGAGAGACTCTCACCACAGGTCGCCCTGCTGTCACCGCCGGCTGTTTGGCGAGCAGCGACTGCAAATTAGAGCACAATACACACACTCACTCCAATTAGTACGTAATTAGCAAATCCAGACTCTCAAGTCAGCTCCCACAAGCAGCAAACCAACTGGCATTAACACCAATGAAAGGTTTTCTGACCTGCAGTTTTACCAGGAATACTTGGTCATCTTCTGCTTGAATTTCCTTTTCGTGTACAATCTGGTGAGAGGGGAGGAAAAAAAATATTTTTCATAGAGTCTTCTACACTCCCACCTTTTCTTTAAAGGTCTACTAGAACAAATCAAATAGATTTGATAAATGTGTCATGATCTCTGCAGGTATACTGGGTCAAGGTTACTGCACTGGCTGTACACTGATGGATGTTATTTGTTTGTGTAAGGAAAGCTTTTCAATTTACGTACCTTTCTGACTGGTGGTTTGACTACTACGTCCTCAAAGCTGTCTTCTAATTTTACTGTCTGGAAGTTCTCGTGAAGTATGGCAATCTTTTTCTCATTGTCCCAACCTGATGGACTGGCAGAGGACGGAGAGAGTTACAAACCAAATACAAACGGCTACGTATACCTTGGACGGACACAAACACACACACACTTACATGAAGACGGCATCTCTTTCCACCACTTGTGCAGGGCTGTGGAAGGGAAAGCCGTAGAGTCTGTGGACCAGATATTTGTAGAGGATGTCCAAGTTTTTCATCTCCTTCACCGACGTGTAAACCAGAGATGCACCATCTGACACAACAGTCAAGGACATTTTTAACATCGGAGTTTCTAATAATGGGAGCAAATAAAGGAAGTCTAACCTACACCACGGTGATGAAAAATCTTTAGTAAAAAATAAAAGGAATCCTGGCTTAGACTATATGCTGCAATAACAGAGGCTAACCAAGGCAGTGTACAACCTTGATCTTGAAACACAATAACCACTGAAAATGTAATAAACTTTTCAAAAAGAAATTATTCTCAAAAACATTTCAACTGGGACCTTGATCAAAATGGACCTGATCCAAATTTCTATACCTGTTCAGGAAATTACATTGTCAGCTGCCCTCTTAAACAACCAGTACATAAATACTGTAGTTTAAATCTTTGTGACAGTAATCTTGTTTAAGTTTAAGCATTGTATGGCTCACACCAGCCCAAAGAAGCATCTGTGAGGCAATGCTGATTTGGTGAAGGATACACTGCAGACAAAAACGCCTGACGTGGGACTGGATGAAGTCCAGGTGTTCATCTCTGTAGTCGTGCTCCTTTTCCAAAGTGCTGATGGCATCACACTGAGGACAGGGAAGGTGACAGAGGTAAATGTGTGACAGTGGATGATTTCAAACAGATACAAATACAGTACAGGATCATATATTCTCATATATAAAAGTAAAGTATGTTAAAGCAATGTTTATAGCAGTAAATTTGTGTACCTTGGTGCAGACCACCACCACTGGAATGCCCAGGTTGTGTGTGAGTGTATTTTCTCCTAATGGCAGCAGCACACTCTCCTCCTCATCACTCCTCCTCTGCGGGGTACCATCCTCCCCACTGCCGGGCTCTGTGTACTCTTGGAACTGTTTTACAACTTAACACACACGAACAACACAATGAGCCCAATGAACACAAGCAATGTTAAGTAGCATTAACTGGCCCTCCTAAGACAAAACCCCAGGGTGTGGTCTTGTAAAAGTTTTAAATGCTTTGATAAATAAGCTGCTTATCTGAGAACTTATTTTTCAAAGCTCTTGCAAAAACACAATGTGTTGTACTTTTTTATACTTAATCTACCAGTTACTCTGACTGCTGTCAGTGTGACTCACGTCTGTGCTCCAGCTCCCGCAGCGTTTCTGGGGCGACCCGGAGTTTGTCAATGTGTTCCCTAGCGACGGCAGCCCACTTCTGGAGAGAGTCGAGGGCGTTCCATGGCCGCGACATGTCAACCGTTATCAGCAGCAACGTGTTACTGATGGAGTCCACTGGCACAGCTACTCCCTGCAGACCTTTGTGGTAAAGGTCTCCATCTAACACCCAGGCGTTACACCTAGTTTGATCTGAACACACAGAAAATACATTTAGGTAAATACACACTTGTACCACAAAGTACACTATTTACTCTGTAGTGATGCAAATAGAATTGTACATGGATGTGGCAAATCATTTTATGAACTGCATGGGGTCACTGGTTACCATCAATGTCATCATCATGAACACTGAAGTAGAGGTATTCCAGGCCACGCCCTTTCATGTACTCTTCAACCCCCTGTAGTTTTGCAACCAAGGTGGTCTTCCCCGAGCCCACCTCACCTAAAAACACATGCACAGAAAATCAGTAATAGATTAGATCATCAGTTAACTCAATCATGCCTCTCTGCTGTAATAAAAGACAATGATAATATTGCAGTTCAGTCTTTCAACTATTGAAGATTTCAGTTTATAAATTGAAATCTGAGGTTATTTTCACCGCTGATCAATACAGTGAGAGCTGCACAGTTTTCTTAAGCGTAAGGAGAGAATTTCTAATAGATCGTTTTGTCTGAACTGTCCCAACATACAAAAGATATTCAATTTACTGTCACGAGACAGAGAAAAAACATCAAATCTGTACAACAGAACAGCTGCAACTGGGAAATGTTTGACGTTTTAGCTTAAGAAATCACATCAGTGATTAACCAATGAGTAAAAAAAAATTACATATATAATTTCTGTCCTTGTCACCACAAACAAACCATGTAGTCCTAATATATTACACAGAATTGCATCTGCATGTGTCCGAGTATTGTTGCTACCCTCAGACTGTTATAAGGTGCATCCTTTGTTGAATGAAGTCACATGAACCCACAGACAGTGTGGACTCTGTGCAGCATGAGCTCAGTGTGATGTTGTCGTGGACTGCATTACAAACTAATGGCACCCGACTCGCCGATTAGCTGGAATGGGTGGCAGGCTGCGGATTATCCCGGGCGGATGTGTAGACATTGTGTGCGTGTGTGTGTGTGTGTGTGTACGAGACAGGGAGGAACCGTCTCTCTGCTTCAATGGCCGCTTGCCCCCCCCCCCCTCGTTACAAACAACAGAGCGATGGTTTGTCTCGTCTCCTCAGCATCACCTGCACCTAGCTGCTTCTGCTGCTACTAGCATGACTTGCAGTGCTTGAAAGGGGCCCGACTCTCTCAGAAGATGATGATAATGTAGTGTTGTGTGTGTGTGTGTGTGTGTGTGTGTGTGTGTGTGTGTGTGCTCCGAAAATAAATACACCTGTCTCCCCCTCCCTCTGCTAGCCGATGCACCAGCTACCTGTTCGGACACAAAAGCAGCATCAGCCCGGAGGAGCATGCTAGCTCAGCTACCGAGGAGCGTTAAAGCACAGCAGGATGACACGATCACCAGCGGACGATGCCTACTAGCTAACCCCCCACACTCACACAGACAGACACAGACAGATACCCACCCATGACCAGGACATTTTTCCCAGACGGTAGCTTCGATCTTGAATGGGTTGACACCTCACTCAGGATGGTGGACCTGCGGACAGAGCAGCCCGGTTACAAACACGACCTGCTCGTTCGTTCATTAACAAACCAAACAAGCAAACGAGTGGCAGCAGCTAAAGAGGCTAGTGCCGCTGTGTCACTGGAGCCGAGGCAGTGTGGTGCTGATGCTAAGCTACAGCCCCGTTAGCGCGCTAGCTGTCAAACCCATCCTCATCCACACAGCACAATAGACCCTCTGCGGCTCCACACTCCCCGCCGCTCCGCGCACGACGAACCGGCTTTATTCAAAACAAATCACGTATCGCCCACCAGAGATCCTGTCCGTCATCCTCCTCCGGGTTGGAGCTCTCCAGTGAGCTCTTGGGTCCAGCTGAGGTGGAGGATAATAACGCACTCCTCCCTGACGTCGCCATCTTCGCAGGGCTTGGAAACAGCGAGTCGGAGCGCCCGGATGTAGCAGCCGTGGTGCTAGCCTAGCCGAGCCTGGTGCACAGACCGACTCACTGAGAGCACGCCGCGGCCGGGGCGTGGTCCTACGTCCCGCACAAAGCCGGACTCACTGCTCCATGAGATCATCCGCACAGTGACGGATCACTCCTCGCCACACATCATCATGCCATGTATACTTTACATTAACTGGATATATATACTGATGTAGTAGATGGGTTTTATGAGGTACAATGTTGCCAAAGTACTATGTTTTTACCCAGTGACGGATCTAGGGTTTTTCCAGATTAGGGGCCATGAAAGGGCCCAAATTTACACTGAGGGGCCAAAATACATGTCCAACATCCGTGCACAGTTTCTGATTCAGGAAGGTGCACATTTGGATGGATAGTTCAAATTCACTCATTATCTACTCACCACTATGCCGATGGAGGGGTGGGTGAAGTGTTTGAGCCCATGTGAACGTGGCTCCAGAGGAGGCTATCAGAGGACGTTTCGGTTAAAAACATGGTTAAAATGAAACAGGTTCGAGTCGAATTTGAATGTTGTTACTAACGGACACTTGGATGACACCACAGGAGCAGTATGCAGGTCTTGTTTGTTTTCTGTTGTTTTTTTTACATTTGAAGAAGTGGTCCCCCAGTTACTTCAATTGTTTTTGATTATGCTGCAACGTTGTTTACCCCTGGAACTCCAAAAGTGTTTTGTGGACTCAGACACTTCAACCACCCCTCCATCGTCCAAGTGGTAAGTAGATAATGAAAGAATTAAACATTTTCAGTGAACTATCCCTTTAAGTTATTCCTTGTTTACTTCTGTTTGCTCTGTAGCTTTGAGCAAATCTGCAGAATTTGGTGAAAGCCTTTTTCTTGGACTTGTTCCAGTTCTTGTAGAGCCGCCACTTGCACTCATCGCTGACGTGCACGGTGAAGACGATCTTGAAGGAACGCTGGCCACAGCGAGTGTTGTCGTATCCCACAACTCCGACCGTGATCACATGGGGGTCTCCATAACAGTCACAGTCTGCATCACATCCTTCTTGTTCACTTTAGATCAAGGTCAGTCGCCCTTTCACATTGAATATATTTTGATATACGTTGTTTTCTTCAAAAAAAGCTGAGAGAATATTAATTCCTAACTAAATTGGTAAGTGACTAGATTTCAAAGACCACTGACAGGACAGGCGCACTTCAGGGGCCAGTCAGATTCAGTGCCCCCCTGGCCCCATTCCTGGGTCCACCAATGTGTGTTGAATGTAGTTATTCGAGACACATAATTTGCATAATGAATGTTATTGCCTATTTCCTGTAATTTTGTGCCACTTCTCAAGCCACTGTGGGTTTTTAGGCAATTCTCCCTTTCATTTCCTCAGTAATTATGTACCACATTTTTAAAGTCCTTTATATGTGGAAATAAACAGTAACAAAACAAACATCAATCCATGATGTGTGTGTAGGCTGCAGGGGGGATTAATGTATTAGTAATTGTGACTGCTATCCTATATAGTAATGAGTCTGTCAAAGCTTAGGCTGTTAGAATATATTTCGCTAAAATAAAGGGACTTTTAAAAAAGCCACTGAAATCTGTTTCCTACAAAAAAAAATCCTCTTTAATACGCTGCCTGCCAAATCAATGATTTTATTTGTGAATAACATGGCACTGGGCCCTAAGCCTGGGATTGAGATAAAGCTTTAAAACCATGTAAGAATTAGATGCACTTCAAATGAACTAACCTTTTATATGCATAGGCTACATTAGATGTCGAGAGTTAGAGATGTTTAAAACAGATTGATAATAAAATACCAAATTTGTATTGATTTCAGATGGATTGGATCGACATCGATCGAGAGGGATGGATTGATGGATAGATAGATAGATAGATGATGGATAGCTAGATAGACAGATAGATAGATAGATAGATAGATAGATAGATAGATAGATAGATAGATAGAATAAATAACATTCATGTGAAGCAGTGAATCTATTGGACACAGCGTGAACCTTGAATCTTGTGTCTCAGGTGTGCGGTCATCGCTTATTATAAAACGGAGACGAACCAATCAAAGCAGAGGAGCGGAAAAAAACTTCTTCCTCTTCACACAAGCGCCATGCAGTTCACCGTGACAGCCGCGAGATGGCACAGACGCACCGCACCATTACGCGCGGTCCCTGTGACCGCCGTGCGCTCTCTCCCCGCGGCCCCCGGTGGAGCCAGCGGGATGACAAACTCCAGTTAAGTGGCGCACCGTCCTCCTCCTCCCCGCCTTTCACCCAGAGTCAACCCAGGAGCACGGAGCGCATCCTCCGCGCTCGCACCCGCGGGAATTGGAAAAGCAGCTTCTGACAGCCGCACAACCCCGGCCGAGCTCTGCGGTGTGAGAGAGGGAGGGAGAGAGACTACACACAGAGAGTGAGGAGAGGGAGATGGCTACGGAGGCGCGCAGTTACCCGTGATTGTCCAGTGAACGGCGGTGAAGTTGCTCGGCTCCGCTTGGATCTTTTCCCCTCCAGGTCGTTGAGGTGAGTTTCCTCCCTGCAGGGGATGAGCGCAGACCGGGTGCAGGTGCATGTCTCACCCCGGTGCATGTGGACTATCCCAGATATTTGCTCTTTTTGTTTTGTCTTGTAAATGATATATGATGGCATCAGATGTTTATAGCCTGCAGCTGGAGTATACAAGGTGGAACTATAAGCAGCATCTTCTATGTTAGTAACTGGGCGAATTAGAGGACAATAAACTATCCCTTCCATTAGCAGGCAGACACATGTGATTGTACAGTAATCCACAGGGACTTGTCAGATTCTTTATTTCTCTTAGAGAGCCAATGCTTTAATATTATTCTGCTAGAGTGCTATAAGACAAGATAAGCTTTATGAGAGGAGGAGATCCGCTTTATTCTCTGTCCTTCTCTCTTTCCCCCTCTCCCACACTTGCTTGTCTTTCCCTCACTCCATCCCTCTAATCCTCCCCCCGTCTCCCTCTATCACAACCTCTGTCTCCACCCCACCATTCTCACTTCTCTCCCTCTCTGCCAGCTCTAATAACACTGAGTTCACACAGCACCAGACTGTTTCACTTCTTATACTCCTCTCTTGTCTCTTCTCAGACCTGCAGCCACCTCTTATGTGTTGTGTCCGGCTGAGCACGTTCCTGTCCCCTGTCATGATTCATATTCTATATATCTCATTGTATATGCCACTTAGTTCTCCAGCTTAAACAGGGGCCCGCATGTGCTGTGGCTGCAGGGCAGTGTTACTCCTGTACCTTGTCTGATAATCAATATGTGACCAAGCAATTACAGTGTACAGTGTCATGGACCTTCCTGTGGCTGAATCATTAATGTCACATCTGTCACAGTCCGCACATGTGAAGATTGAAGGACAAACATGTGGATACACAAACAGACACACGTTCAGGGGTCAAGGATCATGGCGATGGGGCTGTGAGCTGTGATTGATTGTCACAGAGTGGAGAATAAAAGCTGACAGTGAGGAGCCTTGAAATGATTTCAAGACGTCTCACGTCACCCAGCAATCAATCAGTGCTATTTTGGTTTTTGTTTGGGGGCATTATTTTGATTTACACGCTAATTTCACAAGCGCAGGCCGCTTTGTTGCAAAGCATTCAGCCACCCAACCTGCAATTTGCACTCTTCTGTTTGTGATGGTTGCTGCTTTCAGCCATAGTTCAGAGAGACACTAGTTTTTATAGTTCTTGGTACATGTTTGAAATACGCATATAATCTAAAAATTCATGAATGTGTCCACACATAAAAACAACAGATTTTAGCCTCAATTGAGATGCAAATGTCCTCATCACAATGCTTTTGACCAGGACTACAGCAGAGAAACCAGCTGCAACCTTTGCAAAACCCACATTTTGTGACACGGTGTGATATGAAAATTCATTGTCACCTCTAGCAATGTGCAGCGCCTGTGACAGCTGATGCTGTCCTGTGTTGTGAAGGCAGATTCTGCACACTGTTCTTCCACAGTACAGTGGCTGTGTCTTCCACATCCCCCATCACTATCAGTGTCATCTTCTGTCAACCGGAACAGACAGGCATCTGCTGCTTCCCGCACACACTCTGTCTTCTCTGTCACACACACACACATAAACACACAAACATAAACACACACACACACAAACAACATGCAGTAATGTACCACCACCATGCCAAACACAACTAACTTCCTACCTCCCACACACAGGTCTGTGTCGCACACCTGCCCTGTGGCTCTGTCTGCATACATTTGTCTGTATACAGGCCATTCATGGTGCTCAGCTAAAAATAATTATCACAAGCCAACACACACTCGTGGGACATGAATTATGGAGGATGGAGAGCGAGAGAGAGAAAGAAAGAAAGAAAGAAAGAATAGAGGGAGCGAGAGAAAGAGAGAGATTCAGGTCAGAGCCAGACCCAGTTCCAAGATTTTTGCTCCCTAAGGATAATACTACTAGACCGCTGCATTAATATTCAGTTTGTACCATCTAGCACATGAGACCTGCGGTGATCCTTTAGTTTGGACTAACTGGACCCATAGGCTTCAGCTGAGTGCTTCATGTACATTATGGACTTGGAAAAGATAAATTATACATGCAACGCAGTGTTCTTAATATTACAGTTTGGCTTAAGTGTCAACTTGATTCAGCCTCACAGAATAAAGCCTCTGATTAAAGAGCACGTGCTTGAAAGGTATATCACTGAGTCCACGACTGCAGCTAAACAGTTAAAGGAAAAATTTGACATTAAAAGAAATACACTTTTTATCATTTAACACAAGATAAATGCTAAAATGTTAATTGGTGAGTGGTTGAGGTGCCACTGAGCTGACTTTGTTTCCTTTGGGCAGAGCCTGGTTTGCTGTTTCCAACTGATTCCTGTACTAATTGCTAAGCTAACCATCTGTTGGATTTTGGTCTCATATTCAACAAAGTGAGAGTGATATTCATCTTCGAAATTTGCAAGAATGTGTATATTTCCCAATACATGGCATGGGTGATTAGTTCAGTTATTCAAACAGGTGCAACGTTGCTAAGAGGAACGTGATGAAGACGTCCAACAAGGTGAATCTGCACATGTCCCTTGAAGAAGAGTCTAATTAATAAAAAAAACCAGAAAACAACTATAGGGCCTTTAAAATCAAGATGGTTATCCACTGTCACCTATCGAGTAATATGAATAAATTGTGTAGGGCCAACTCATTCCCTTGCTTTAAGCTGAGATATCAGGCAGTTAAACTTGAGTAATTACACAGACTCTCTGTGCAGTTGGAATACGAGAACACTCACCTTCAACAAATGATAAACAGCAGATACCTTTCGGCTGCATTGAGTTAATGGGTCATTTTCCTGCAAGTGAAAAACGGCGGTGTCGCAGTGATTAGATGCTTGACAGTTTTCTATTTCGGGACTGTGAACCCTATACACCCTGTGGAAACCTGAGGAGAAATCTGGAGAAGCCTTTGTTGGTTACTCAGCATATACAGAGCATGTGTCTGTATGTGCATGTAAATCTGTATGTACATGCATACACCCAAATGCATTAACATGTGTAAGTGCATTGTGGGTGTTCGCATTCCTACTGACAGAATGTGTGTGTATTGTTGTGTATTTGGGGACCTTGCCTGATATTCTGTAGCTGACCTTGAACAGTGTGAGCGCTGCCTGCTTAGTCAGGACTACTGCGTCTGCACATCTATCTATCTATCTATCTATCTATCTATCTATCTATCTATCTATCTATCTATCTATCTATCTATCTATCTATCTATCTATCTATATACAGACTAATCCCATCTTCTCTTCTCTCTCCGTCTCTTTTCCTCAGTGCGTGATTGTGTGTTCAGCATGAGTAACATCTATGAGTCTGCAGAGGCCACGCTGGGCTTCATCAGCTCTCCATGCCTGGCTAAAGTGGAGCTAAGAGTGGCCTGCCGGGGGATCTCGGACCGCGACGCCCTCTCCAAACCCGACCCCTGCGTGGTGCTGAAGATGCAGTCGCACGGGCAGTGGTTTGAGGTAAAAAATGTTTTTCAATTACAGGACAAAGGTTTAATGGCGACATCAGCAAGACGTGTCCTTGTGTACAACACCAGTTTAACCATTAAAACATCCTTAAGCCATTACACATTCTGAGGCCCTGTGATAGATTGGTCTGTGCTGGCTGTAACCTGCCTCTGCCCCAGTGAGTAGTCAAGTAGTCAATCTAAATGATGGATGGAAGACAATCTGAACGAGAACTCTAGGCTCTAACGAGCGCTTGCTGTCAAAGGCAGCTCATTTCATTGATTGAGATTGATAGATTTCTGAAGTTTCATCGATTCCTAAGCCGATGTCACTTTTATAGCCTATAAATTGGCTTTTTCATAAACCAGCAGTTGACATTTGATTTCTGTTTGGGTCCAACTGATTCTTATTAGTTGATAAAATAAGTAATTTTTTTTGCTTCCACTACAAAGTTTTCAAGGTGAATTTAATTTTATTGTAACATTTTCACACACTACACCACTTCTCCACGACCCGATGTATCAGTCAGGTAGAAGAACTATTTTCCCCTGCCTTTAGCTTCTGTTTCACATGGCTCCTTATGAATTCCTTCTTCACACACTCTTAAAATTGTCCTTCTACTTGCAATAGTTCAAACACATCATTGAATTCGATCTCCTCGACTACATTATTATTCCTAATCAAGGACCCGACCTGCGGAGCTGTGATTGTGTCGCTCACCCTCTCGCTGCAAATTACCAATTGCTTTCGGTTCTTATATATTATGAATGCTCATTGTCACGGGCGGCAGATGAAATCAAACAGTGTTTCGCGCAAACTTTTGTTGACTGATACACAGATTGGATAAAATGGAAAGCCTCAGCTTTTCAACACAAGGGATCTGCCCCAAAGTAAAGTAGTACAAGTAATGACAGCACCAAAATGCTCTATCTGGAATCATGGACATTTTAAGAAATGTTTTCAAATGTATACAATCGTCCTAGAATAAATTGTTTAGCTGGAAAACTTGTGTTTCTCTCTTTTTATATCCAAGACCCAGCAGCTTTTTCAGGGACTATTCAACCTCCTATATATGACAAATCTTATTCCCACTGAAGCCTCAGCGGCGGCAGTAACACTTGTACGAGCTGAAATATCAGAACACAGCGTGAGGGAATGAGAAATAAATTTTAATGAAGAACTGTATTTCCCTCGGCCTCTATTTCTATTTCCTTTACCTGGGGTAAGAAAAGACAGACATATGCTGAGAGCCCTGCCGTCCTTTTAAATATGTAGATACACACCCACACACGCACAGCCTCACACACTCGCTGCTGCAATGACCCACTATTACAGCCATGCAAAGAGACGTACTCATATATACACTCTGTAATACAAACACACACACACACACACAAACATTTAGAAAGTAGTGCAGTATTATTCTGCATTTGGAGACTTCACAAAAGGCTACTTTGTACAGTGTGCTGTGTGTGTGTGTGTGTGTGTGTGTGTGCGTGTCTGTCTGTGAAAGTGTGTATAAATGACTGTGTGAATAACGATAAGCCCCATTGTGGGAGTGTGGAACTAGACAAATGTTATCAGTGCCCATCAGATACAGAAAGTCTTAATTGGATAATGTTTTCGAGAGAGTGTTCAAGCCGCTGGACAATGTGTGTTTGTGTGTGTGTGTTGTGTGTGTTGTGTGTGTGTGTGTGTGCGTGTGCGTGTGTGTGTGTGCACGCGCGTGTGTTTGTTGATGTGTACATGATTCTTTTTTCTCTAATCAGACGCCAGCCTATAGCGGTAAGTGTCAGCAAAAGGCCAAATCTCTGAGGGTACATCAAGTCTAGTGGTGTGCTATTAATTTTTGTCTGTGCTTGTGTGTGTTGTGTGTCTGTGTGTGTGTGTATGACTGTTTGTGCCCGTGCCAAAGTGATATCAACTGTAAAAGGGACACAGTTGCTGCTGTTGTGTTGAGATACACTTTTGTTAGCCTTTCTATTCCTTTCTGCAGCAGCCACTTAGAGAGAAGAAAATGCACGATCAATGTTACAGCTACAGTCACTTCTGTGTTTGGTCAAACAGCTTGTGTGATTTTTTTTTTAGCCATCAAGAATAATCTATAATCCCAGTTCTCAAATTGACAAGTGTAAACAATGTGATAATGGCCACTTGTGGTAATTGCTGAGTTGCTGAAAAGTCTGCAGAGCTCCCAAATCGATGCGGAGCTGCAGTGTGTTGGAGGTTGAAACACTGAAATAGTTTTCTGAAACACTGTTAAAGCCAGATCCTGACTTTACAACAATCATGACAAACTTACTTAAAAAAGATTCTGTTCTGTTTGTTGGTTGGATTGTTGAAGAGTGCACAAAAACTACTGAACTGGAAGGTTGCAGTATGAGCCAGGAAAGAAACCATGAACTTTTAGTCTGTATCAGGATCAGGGTTTTTTCCAATAATAGGAAATAAGGAAATAATGAGTCAACAAATAGATGCCCATATAAAATATACCATCCTTTATTCTATTCTAAATTAGTTGATAAAATGAATAAAACATCCATATAGACATTAAAGTCTGGATTAGGACTACAGCATCTTAAATTATTATTTATAGGGCTTAGAAGGGGCTTCATTTTTAATTAGCTTTTCCACCTTTGAGTAATACTTTTTTAATTTACTAAATCCTGTTATGGAAAAAACTTTGCCAAACAGCCCTGAGATGTACATAATAAACATTGTGATGGATTGTTGACACTAGATTGATGGTGAATCCAGGCAAAACAGTTCCTAAGATTAATTGTGTTTTATATTTGCAAGAGACCCAAATTTCTCCTCTCAGAGACGTTACCTTGGAGCTGTTTGTGTGCTCATGCTATACCTGCCTTTGTGCTCATGTGTGTTTGCAGGTGGACCGTACAGAGGTGATCCGCAGCAGCAGCGGCCCCGTCTTCTCTAAGATCTTTCTGGTGGATTTCTACTTCGAGGAGGTGCAGAGGCTCCGCTTTGAACTCCATGACATCAGCTCCGGCAACAACGGCCTCCGTGACGCTGACTTCCTGGGATCTATGGAGTGCACCTTAGGACAGGTCAGTGCCTTACAGACGTTTGGGTTTTAAACCATGTTTTACGCCCTCTGCGTTTACCATCTCCCTCTTCCGTTCAATAAAACAGAAATCTGATCAGGTTTACATGACTGAATATGAAACGGCACGTTAAGCAGTTCACTGCACAAGCCAAGTCATGCGTGTGCGTTTCCAGTTCGTGTGGGTTTCACCTGTGAACACATGTAAGAGTGAGATCACTTTAAGAACCAGAAGAAGTGTGTATGATGTGAGCATATACTTGTAGCAGTGAATGCATGACAGGAGTGCATTTATGTGCATTAGTAAGTATGTTTATTGAACCAGTTTATCACTACACTTTACAAGGTAAGAGCATGGCTCTGTGTAAGACCTATATGCCTGCACGAATACAGCCTGTACGCTTTGAGTTTAAGAATTATTCAATTATATAGTTCACTGAGCTTGATGAGATATTAAACATACGTATTAAATAGTTGTACTTTTATCTGAGTGAGAAAGCGACTCTAAGCTAAACTGATGAAATCCTTGGCTTCTTTCATCTGCATTCACAATGTGTTTTCTTTGTCCTTGAGTCCTTAGTTACACAAAACTCTGTGGGTGCAGTAGACTGCATTTATATGTGCGTATATGCTAATGCATATTGCCTTGTAGCACACTTAATGGCACTCTAGTACCTTGTAATGGTGAAGTGATGTTGTTGTAGTCAATATTTAAAGATTTACTTCACTTAAATATCCAATATTTCGCCTTTAAATTAACACTGGAATTGCAGAGGCACTAATGAAGTGATTTCATTTCAGGAAATTACCGTCTAATGTCATATTGAATGGAAGGGAATAGGGGTCCAATAGCTTTAATGTCCTCCTCTGCCATGGAGCAGAATTAATATGTTTGTTTCCACTAGAATCCACTTCTCATTGTCAGTGACGCTATCAGCAACACAAAGCTGGTGGATTTATAATAGTTGGGGAGAAGTGAGATAATTAACATGGAAGAGGATTTTTGGAGGCGAGAGCCAGAGGGGTTTGCTGAAATGGGATAAAATTCTGCCAACGCACCAGAAGAAGATTTCAGAAGGAATCAGTAACACATCTGTTAATAGAAATCAGTTTATTGAATTTTGAGACAGAGAGAAGAATGTTTTGTGCAGAGATGTTCCACACTAAAATGTTTTTGGACTGTAATGGAGCATTTTTGGTGCATTACAGTGTAAAGTTTGGATCTTTCCTCTATGTACAAAGGCAAACCCACCATGAAATGTAGCCGGAAGGAGTCCTTGACACAGAGGGTTTGTCACTGAGGCATACAGTTGCTACAATCAATATATTTTACATATATAACTTTGATACTTTGATACTTATCAAAGATACTTTGATTTGAAAAGTGTGATGAACACGCAGAAAGTTACTCTATCGCCCGACTCTGCAGTTCACCTCAGGTCTTCGAGAGAGTGTTTCAGTCCTTCAGCTCAGCATTTTGATTTTTCCTTCCTGCAACGTTACTGTTCCTGTGCATCCTCACTGCTCTTGTCAGCATTGTTTTTGAAAGCAGCAGGCAGGAGTTCCAACTACCTTGCACAATACCTGTCCAGCAACAAACAGAGGGACAAAGTGAAGGAGAAACAACAGCATTTCTCCGAGAATGAGCCAGACGTTTACTCAGAAGATGGTGGAGACCAAAACTAAATATTAGACTAAACTTTTCTATGTGGACATATACATGATTGCAAATGAATCACATCAGCATTGTATTGGATAACTAAGCAGCTGCTCCAAATAACACAGGAGACAAAGTTAAGAGGAAATCTGAGCCCGACTTTTACTTTAAGAGTTGGTGGAAAAAGGAGAGTAAATATTATATTAAAATTTACCAGGTGGCCATAAACATGATTCTAAATGAAGGATAGTATTGCCCTGTGTAAGCTGTAAGCACAATTTTCTAATGCATTTTTCATTTCCATTTATACATAACCACAAGGTGATACTTTGTCAGTGTTATTACCTCCCTCAAGGAGGTGGAGTTTTTGTCTGCGTTTCTTTGGTAGTCAGCAGGATTGTGTAAAAAGTACAAGATGTATCACCACGAAACTTGGCAAGGAGAGAACTCATTAAATCTTGGTGTGGCACTTGTTTGTTTCTACATCATAACCAATTCACCAGGTCATCAATCCTGGATATTCCTTGTTGGATTTAAGGGGACTGTTGGACCTTGGCATAGGGTATTTAGCGCCATTGTAGTGTTGCTTCTACTTCCGCCGAGTAGATTTTAAAAAAAAATGATTGTAGGTTTAAGTAAAGTCCTTCAATTAGAAATGATTCTCAGTTCACAATTAAATACATTTGTTACTCAAAATAACGGCTTCTTGAAGTGTTGATGTTTGCAGCATTGTGATACGCCTGTGTATCACTTTTGCCGTCTGGGTGTTAACAACAACTCAAATAACCCCTTTTAATTAGTGTTGCTAATGCTAAAGATTTCATAGAGAAACCCGTTGCTCTGCAGCCTCCAGGTGCTTTTACCTTATTGTTTAGTTTCGTCTGTTTGTGTGGGTGACTCCCAGTGGAGATTATAGCCCTCTTATCCCTTTAATAGCACCTGGTCGGTATAGAAAAAGGAGAGAGTAGCATATTTTGCTGGAGCTGGCAGATCAAGCCACGGATAGAGCAGCAGAGAAAATAACCTTTGACAGATAGTGAGAAAGGTGACTCCACTATCCTGCATTTAATATGTCCACTGGATGTGTAAGTGGGAAAACATTAACAAGACGGGCTGAGTGTAACACCAGGACGGCACTAAGAGCTGAACATGAGAATGTGTGAGCTGGTTTCTGTGTTTCTGTTCCCTCCAGATCGTCTCGCAGAGGAAACTGACCAAAGCTCTACTGAAACAGGGAAACACTGCTGGAAAGTCGTCTATAACGGTACGACATTCAGTAACCCCCAACAACAGTGTTTGGATGGAAATTGATGTATTGGGTGTGGAGGAAAAATAAATGGACTTTGAGGAAAGGAGGTTGAAAAGCTGGTCTGGGAGGATTAACTGGTGACAAAGCGGAGGTATACTCAGTGCTGGGGTTCCATGTCAGACGCCTTTCTACCTGAGAATATCAAGTGTCCTGAATGAGACATGCAAGAGATATACACCAAACTGAGGGGATGAGAGAGGGAGGGATGGAAGGAGGGTGAAGAGATGAGGACTGGGATGAGGGAAGGAAGGTGACTGGATGAGGAAAGAGGATGAAGGATATGTGAGTGGGGATCAAGGAAGAAGGAAGAAGAGATGAGGGAAGGAGGATGAAGGGATGAGGGAAGGAGGATACTGGGATGCTGGAAGGAGGGAAGAGAATGAAGGGATGAGGGAGAGGGGATGAAGGGATGTTAACCTGTAAATCTCATCTATTAAGGGCAGCCAAACCAACTCACAAGTGCAAATCACACGTGCACCACCTCTCACACTTACACATAATTAATTTCATCGTGTTGCATGTTCAATTTCTGATTTTCTCTCACCTCTCTCTTCTTTGTCTATGTCTGTCTGTCTCTCTCTCTCTCTCTCCCTCTGCCTCCTCCCCCTCCTCCTCTTCCTCCTCGTCTTGTTCTCTCTCTGCCCCCTCTGTAAAGGTGACAGCAGAGGAGTTGTCTGGTAACGATGATTATGTGGAACTCTCCTTCAGCGCCCGTAAACTCGACGACAAGGTGTGTGTGCAGCCATTTAAAAAAAAATCGAAAAGTTCTGGTTGTTCCTCACGTATGAGAGGAATTAATATGTAGATGTGTGTGTGTGACTGTCCAATTCACAGAATTACAATATGACGTTAGAGGAGGCCTGCTGAGATAGGTGGGCACCGCCCTCCCACAGTAACACCCTATCTCACCCTCTCCGCCACACACACACACATAGATAACTATATTAATTTTCAGCTTCCACACACACACACACACACAGCCACGGATGACTAATCCAAACAAGTTGTGCCTTAGGGGAAAGATGGAAGAAAGCAGAGGAAGGGCAGATAAATTGGAGAGGACAGGAAAGAGACGGGTGGAAGCTACAAGGAAGAAAGGAGGGGAAAAGGGCTGAAATAATGATTCTGTTAGTGCATTAATGATTTATGATGATCAGAGGCGGATCCGATGTGATGCCTTACATGCATGTTCACTCTCTGAAGGATTTCTTCAGCAAGTCGGACCCCTTCCTGGAGATTTTTAGGATGAATGACGATGGCACTGAGTCGCTTGTGCACAGAACTGAGGTAATTACAAGCAAATGCAAACATTTCAATGTGGTTCAGATCTGTGATTAACATCCACTGTGCTTGGTGTGCAGACAGTCATGAACAACCTGAGCCCAGTTTGGAAATCCTTCAAAGTTTCCTTGAACACGCTCTGCAGTGGCGACCACGACAGGGAGCTAAAGGTGAGTCAAACTATTTTTAGCAAGTCACAAAAACAACATCATTTTATTTACCTGTAAGCATTATACATGATAATCTGAGCACAGCAAAACAAAACATGGCCACCTCTCGCTTAATTATTCAAGTCCCACCAGTGACAAACAATAAACATTTAGAGGGGCTGAGGCCAAACAGCACCCGAGGGCCTGCAGGTGTTTGTCTGCAAGATGCGTTGCTTTTTGCGCAGCATACAAATGATGAGATTTACACTCATAGGTATTCACAACAAAACCAAACTGTGTGAGTAAATCACCAAGTGGTCCCAGTCCTCGAAACAAGTCCAGTTCAGCTCATGTGCCGGTTTTTTTACTGATGTCACTGTGTTATTTAAAGAGCCAGACGGGTATGAATGAGCTCAATGGACAGACCGAAACTCTCACCTTTACTTGCCAGAGTAGATCTCTATCTGTGTGTGCATGTGTGCATGTGTGCGTGCATGTGTGTGTGTGTGCATATGTTTGAAAGTGGTGGCTGCACATCAGCTGTGAACAGTTATTCTCCCCATGAATAAACATGAGCTCATTCATTAAATATTCAGAGGCGTCTTAACTCCGCATGGCTCCTGACAGCAGGAAAAAGGGCTCACACATATACACACACACACACACACACACACACACACACACACACATGCATACATGCACACCATTAGCTATGGTTTCCAGGGCTACCTGTTTGAAGCATCGGAGCTATAGTGAGAAACGGCAGGGCAGAGATTTCTATTCAGACCCGTTCTTCCTTTCACCTGCCTCTTAACTGACCAATGCATAAATGCATATACCAACCTCTGCAGTGTCTGGCTCTCTCCCTCTTTGTGATTATCTACCTTCTACTTTTCCCTCTGTCCCTCCATCTCTCTCTCTCTTTCTTTCTCTCTCTCTCCCTCTCTCTCTCTCGCACTATCCGTATAGCAGTTAGTATTCAGTGAATGGAACGGAGGCTCTTCATTTTTTCATCACACTCTCGCATGGCTCTCAGCAACTTGAAATGGAAGCTGGGCTACGAAGAGCAAGTGTTCAATCCCTCACCCACCAAAACTTCTGTCAATAAAACAGAAACAATTCACGAATGATCTCTCACACACACACACACACACACACAACACATTCAACTCTTCAGGTGAAGGCACTTGAAAGCTGAAGTGGCGGGAGAAGGAAATAAGGGGATTACTGCTGTCCCGTGTTTTTCAGTCAAGTGTTGCTGGATTATGTCTGATTGCTTGTCGTGGAGGTGACTTTAGGCGAGAAGGTCACAAAGCACTACAGCAAAATGACTCATTCGTAGCAATTAAATCTGAGTTAAAGGTAGCCTTTCTCTGTGTGTGTGTGTGTGTGTGTGTGTGTGTGTGTGTGTGTGTGTGTGCGTGTATTAACAAGCACCTCCATCAACCAGCTTTATTGAATATTATTGATCGACACTGGTTGAGAGCCCAGATATTGGTGCCTTCTATCTCACTCTGAGATTGTAGGATTGTTTCTTTGTCATGTGCGAAGACTTGGCCCGCTGACTCTCGGATTCCTCCAGCGATTGGGGCCGTTTATCTTGTCTTGTAGTTCCTTCGAGAGAAACAAACTATTATGCCTAACACACACACACACACACACACAAACTGTTGCTTAAGCTGCGTCCCTCTCAGCATCCTCAGATTAATATTTCACCACTCCTTTGCCCCCCCACCAACACCACCTTATCAATCATTCAGCATGGCATTTCCCTGCATGCCTGTGAGTCCGTCTGTGTGTGTGTTGCGCTATAACTGAAAGAATGTGTGCTCTTGTGTGTGTGTGTGTGTCTTTGTGGTTGTTCCAGTGCACAGTTTGGGACTGGGACTCTAATGGGAAACATGACTTTATCGGGGAGTTTCAGACGACGTTTAAGGAGATGAGGGCGGAACAGGAGGGAAAGCAGGTAAGCGTGTAAACACAGAGTCATGTCAAGCCACATGGATGAAACGCAACCCACACACTGACTCCTCAGCACAGATTTATTGAGCTTTGTCAGGTAACAGAACTCAGTAGAGAGCATATACTTCTGCCACAGTCATTCTTTAATTAAATCAAACCACACCAAATCATACACGCTCGATCAGTCTTCTAAGTATGCTTGATTGTTTTTCGTTTTCAAACTTACTGACCATGTGTGATAAACATCTCAAAATGATGAAATTTGAAAGCACACAATGAAATCACAGTCAGTCCCAAAGAGAGGTGCTATATGGACAAAACAAATACATCTAGAAGCACTAGAAACATTCCTGCTGAAAATTTCCACCCATACAATACAATACAATGCATGTTTTCAATATATTCTGATATGAAATGTATGTTAGGGTCAAAGTCTATTGGACTGATATCAACAAGAAGGTCTAGGATAAATAAACCTTACTTTAAAAGAAATGTTTTATTTCATATTAATTTTTTTCCCTACATTGTCTATATTGGAGATAAATTGTGGTCTGGAGTCAGTGTGCAGGAATTTCTATTCACCTTCTGCCTTTAATACATATATAATATTTTCATACTCACCACACCCACACCCACAACATTAACATAATCGATGTGTGTTTTTGCCAATAGATTCAATGGGAGTGCATCAACCCTAAATACCAGATGAAGAAGAAGAATTACAGAAACTCTGGTGTTGTCATGCTCAACCACTGTAAGGTAAAGTGACACAATATCAGTCATGCAACTTTTAACTTTCTGCAGACTATCCCTTTTTGTATTTTCTGTGAAGTTTGCAACGATTATTTTCAAAATGAACAATCTCTAAATTCATTTATATTATAATAGCTGATTATTGTTTAGTATGCAAAATTGCACATAAGAATGGAAAATGCCGATCACACATGCATGTTTAATCTGATCATCTCATGTTGTGTATATGTGTCTTCATTGTATTTATTGTGTGTTTCTGTATATTTTTTCATGTGTCAGTTTTCAAATTACTCAGTGGAAGGAGAAAGACAATCTATCTTTTCTCATCCGGTGAATTTTCATGACACCAAATTTCAATATTTCTCCCTGACAGATCATCAAAATGTATTCCTTCCTGGATTACATCATGGGCGGCTGTCAAATTCAGTTCACAGTGAGTTTTGTCTCATATAATCTCTTTAATATTCACATGCAGCCGCATGTCGTTGTCTATCCGTGCTCACTTGTGAGATGTAAGCTGCACTGTACATGTGTGTATGTGTGTGTGTGTGTGTGTGTGTGTGTGTGTGTTCCTGTCGCAGGTGGCAATAGATTTCACAGCATCCAATGGGGATCCCAGAAACAGCTGCTCCCTTCACTACATTCACCCCTACCAGCCCAACGAGTACCTCAAAGCTCTGGTGGCTGTGGGGGAGATCTGCCAAGACTAT